GAATGAGAAATATATTTAATCTTTCATATTCCCTTTATCCATCAGTATGAAGTCTTTTATTAGCTTAGCTGTAGTCATTCTAGGTTTCAGGAAATAAGTCACATTATTTTCAATGGAATTAAATTCTAAGTCAACATGCCTCCGTCTGTTGTGTCCTTTCATCTTGTCAAGGTGTCACTGTGATTAATTGTGTATAAAATGAGATGAATGAATGAGCAATGTTCCATTTTTCTCCCAAAATGTACCAGTTTGACCATTCCAAGTTTGGTTCATTTTTCCCCCCAGAAGTAATTAATTAAAGACTGAATACATTCAGAACACTACAGTGAATTGCACTTAATTTCAATAAATATTAAACCAGATGGATATTAAAGTAGGTAAAAGCTTTTATTTGTCCAACTCAGATTTTTTGAGAAGCAAGGATAAGTCCTTAAATTCATTATGGATATGTGTCGCCACATTATAGATCTGTCCCACTATTTCAATGGATTAATGAAGAAAAAAAATCTGATGAAAATTAATTCAAAGGCTCCTGCAGTTTCCAGAAAACTGCTCAGAGTTTCTGAAGAAAACTGTTGATTAATAATTCCTGAAGGAACATAGTGGGTACTATTTTTATTTCCTAATGGTTGGTATGGTAAGGATATAATGAAATCCCAAGCCTTGTGCAATACAATGTCCTGTTAGTTATGTCTCGAGAAATGAGATGGGCAAAAATGCCACCATTAAGTACTATCAGAGTGAGGTAAGGAAATAATTCATTGAGTAGTTTACCTTTTGGTATGCTCATTGCACAGTTATTACAACAATTTCATTGTTGTTAGTTGTGAAGTCATGTCCGACCCATCGCAACCCCATGGACAACATTCCTCCAAGCCTTCCTGTCCTCTACTATCTTCTGGAATCCATTTAAGCTCACACCTATTGCTTCAGTGACTCCATCCAGCCACCTCATTCTTTGTCGTCCCCTTCTTCTATTGCCCTCAATCTTTCCCAGCATTAGGCTCTTCTCTGGTGAGTCCTTCCTTCTCACTGAGTGGAAAAAGTATTTTGAGTTTCATCTTCAGGATCTGACCTTCTAAAGAGCAGTCAGGGTTGATCTCCTCTAGGACTGACCAGTTTGATCACCTTGCCGTCCAAGGGACTCGCAGGACTCTTCTCCAGCACCATAGTTCAAAGGCCTCAATTCTTTGGCACTTAGCCTTCCTTATGGTCCAACTTTCACAGCCATGCAATCAACTGGGAAAACTATAGCCTTGACTATACACACTTTTGTTGGCAGGGTGATGTCTCTGTTTTTAGTATGCTGTCTAGATTTTCCATAGCTTTCCTCCCCAGGAGCAAGCATCTTTTAATTTATTGGCTGTAGTCCAATAGGTTGTGCAATAAGACCAGAATTTTGCTGAAGGAACCTTTGCAAGGTGGAGACTTTATTAGCTGATGCTTCATTTGTTGTAGCCAGAATGTTATTCCCTGCTTAGAGATGGTTTATATTTTGGTGAAAGGAGGACTGTAGTAAAATCGCATATACGCAACCTTGGAGTAGATTCAGGAAAGGAAAAACAGACCTTTGTCTTCCTTTGCATGGGAACTGAAGGCTGTAAAAGGAGGAAATATATGGCCAAAATAACTGCTATTGTTTATAGAACTGATTTTTAGACTCTTGCAGGAAAAAAATCCTACAGATCATATGCGGGAGGGTCTTGCGAGGTCACCCCCAATGTTTTGTCAAAGCCATTCAGGTTTGGAGGTCATACAATGATTTAAAATATTTTCTTCCTCATTCCAATGTAGCAAAAACAAACTGTATTCATAGAAATTGTAACTTAGCTTTGTTGGGGCATTTTGGGGGGATTTTTATTTTTATTTTTTTGGCAAGGAGCCCATCATCACTGTAGTTAGTATGGAGCAATAAAAAAAATGCTTCATTGCATCTATCTCTAGTTGCTTTGGTTTCTCCTGCAAAGTGACGGTTTCCAGAACCGAAGGAAAAGAGTTCATCTTTTGATCCTTTGCATTCACGATCATTTTATACATCGTGCTGATATTCCTCTCTCCCTCTGATTACTTATTTATTTGTTGCTTTATTTATATTCTGCCTTTATTATATTTTATTTTTATAAACAACCCAAGATGGCAAACCTATCTAGTACTCCCTTCATTCTCTTGTTTTTCCCCACAACAACATCCTGTGAAATGAGCTGGGCTGAGACTGGCGCAAGGACACCCAGCTGGCTTTCATGCTAAGGTGGGACTAGAACTCCGAGTCTCTCAGTTTCTAGCCTGGTGCCTTAACCATTAGATCAGGGGTAGGCTTCAAAAATCTTAGCAATGGGTCCTCTGCCCGGTTGTGGGTGGGTGTGGTCATGGTGGGTGTGGCCTAGTCAGCCTCCTATACCATGGCGGGGGGGGGGGCTTTTTGCCCTCCCCGGGCTTCGGAGGTTTTCCTCGAGCCTCCAGGAGGGTGAAAATGGCCTCCCCTGGCTCTGGAGGCTCTCTGGAAGCTGGAAACAGGCCCATTTCCAGCCTTCCCAAACTTCCAGAAGGCCCGTTTTTCACCTTCCCTGAGCGTCCATGCACCCTGTACTTACCTGCATCCAAAAGAGGCCACATGGAGACTCCTGGGAGGGGAGGGATGGGCAGGTAGGGCCATCCAGGAGTGGGATTTGGGGGTTCTCCAAACTGCACAGAATCTTAGCTAGAAGTTCTCCCAAACCCCAGCGAACACCCAGCAGCCCACGCCTGCATTGGACCGAATTGGCTCTGTTTATGAAGTAAAGCTTTTTAGATACAGAAATACTTATTTCGAAGTGCACGTTTGTAAGAGCCCATTGATGCGAAAGCAAATGTAGTCATCGCTTACAGTAATGATTTACACCTCTTGCTAATTGTCATTATCCTGATAAAGTACATAGATGCTTAGAAAGAACTGAATCACATCTAATAGCTCCGTATAACTCCATTGTACTATTGTTTTCTTCTCTTAGTTCTGGATGATAGTTCATGTATCTCTTGGACAAATTCCACATGAATCAGCTTATATATCTACTTCTATCAATATATTGAAACACTGGTTTGTACAATTTGTGGCCAGCAAATAGAATATAACTTGTTAGTTGCGTATAGAATGCCATGCTTCAGTAGTTATATTATATAAAACAGATGCATTTTTCATTAAGTCTCTTTTGGTGACACAATACTTGTGGTGTGAGTATGCTTGCATTAGGTCTAACTCTGCAGAGGCGAACCTGATGTTCCTGGGTACTTGAAATATATCAATTATTTTAGCATTCTAAGAGACTGAGAAGTTACAATATATAATAAATTAACTTATATAAATAAATGCATTGTAAATGAAAGTATTCCACTTTCTTACCCTGACATATCTCGTATATCAGGAAGTACCATAGATATTATTTAGATTATTTTTTCTGTGCTTGGTGTATATCAGATTAATTTATTTACCATAATATTTCCTACATAAACAACAATATAAAACAAGTAATTAAATTTCCTATCGCACTTCTAGAGAGTCAATATATAAAATGAATGAGATTTTTATCTCTGTAGACAAGGGGCCACTGAAAACCCAGCTCGGGTCCTCTTATATTGTTTCTTCTATCAGGATTCACAAACTAATTTTATGACTCTTACCTGATAAAATATGCAGGAAATTCTGATTTCTTTTACATACAGCTGTTGCTGTCAGATCAGTATGATACAATTTCTTCAAATATAGCAAAATTTTGCTGCATTGTCTGTACAATTCTGGTTACCCATCGATGCCCTCACCACTAATTATAATATAATATTATGTTTTAAACATAAAAATTGCTCTGTAGCATGGGAATATTATATTATGTTTTAGCTGTTGTCTTTTTTAAAATTTGTCATGACTGGATAATATTTTGTGACCTTTTTAGTTCACATTTTCTAAATTTCCAAATATTTCTTTGCTACGCTTAGAAATACGGAAGGATGGGCTAATTCTTAGTGCCAGATTTTCTACCACTGTTGTTGGTAGAACATCAAGATTAGCTAGATTACTCTAAATACCTATTTGTGATGAATAGTGAATGTGTTATAGTACGACTTGAGAAAAGAAAAAGGTCAGTTTCAAAGGCCGAAGTAATAGCGCAGGGGAAATTTTGCTCCTGTCCTTCTGTCAGTGTAAATCCTGGACAAGTTCCTTCACCTTTTGTAAATACTTTCAGACCTTGATCTTATCAAAACATCAGGCAAGAATCTACCAGAGACTAAGTCAAGGGTATTTTTTTTTTCTTAGAGAAATCAATTTTGTCAAGGAGGATTAAGCCAATTACAGATCTGCAACCTTAACCATTGTGTTGTTTTTAACTTATTGTATTTTTGTAAGTTAATAGATGGTGTGGTTACAATTGTCTCCTGTAAATATCTTACCACCATCCTTCAATCCTCCTGGACTTTAACCTGATCTTGATTTGAAAAAAAAAAGCCCCATTAGAGAGTGTGCTGCAACATATCTTCCTTTCGATTTGACCGAAGAAGAGCAAATACCTTCCACCAGAAACATTCACAAACTCATTATAAGTAAAATAATCACAAAGACCCTAGTGTCACCTAGGAGAACCACAATAAAGTATTTAGGTGACTTGAAATAAAATTGAAGGAGAATGAAAAAAGGTCAACAATTTTAATGATATATGCAACACATGCCTCATCATTTACAACATGAAGTTGATGATATATGAGATACAATTCAAATATATATGTATATATGTTTGTGTGTGTATACTCACATGCACAATGAGTGACTATATAGATTGAGTATAAAACCGAGACTAGATACGTTCTATAGAATAAGTCAGCAGATTAAGTGCTTCAGTATCCAAAATATATCCAAGACTGTCTGAACACTGTCCTTTCCAGAATACAGATCAGAATACAATCAGGGTAATATAGGAGAAACCTTAAGACTAAGATATTTTTGATGCTTAACAATGCTGTGCTATTTATTTTAGGTTATACTCAGTTGGTGGCCGAGACGGAAGTTCTTGCTTGAGTTCTATGGAGTATTATGATCCTCACACCAATAAGTGGAACATGTGTGCTCCAATGTGCAAAAGAAGAGGAGGAGTTGGAGTGGCCACCTGTGATGGTTTTCTTTATGCTGTCGGAGGCCATGATGCCCCAGCCTCGAACCATTGCTCCAGACTCTTGGATTATGTTGAGAGGTATCCATCTTCTATCAGTTTACTTTCAATGGGTCTGAAGGCAAACCAAGCCATTGACTTGAAATGTTGTTAGCACCCAAAAAAATGCAGTGGTTTTGGAGATACAGAAATATATTTTCAATTCACTTTGGGAGTTCAAGATTAAATGATAAAAGTTGTGCTTCTTCTCTCCTTCTCTCTCTTTGACTCGCTTCTTCTCTCTGTCTTTGTTGTCTTATATTCCAAATTTAAAATTTTACAATGTTACAATCTCCCTTGAACTGAATTATTGATTACATCATGGGTATGTGCTTGGGCAGGGACAACAAAGTAACTTGCATTGTCTTCATCTGGGATATTTTTCTGACTTTCCAATCAATCCTTGAAGTTACCACCCTACAAAGTACTAAATAGATTCAACCTTAATCAGCTTTTTCATGAGTCCTATTATCTTCAATAAGATATCTTCATAAGTCCTATTATCTTCAAACCTCTGGAAAGATCATGGATTCCAGACAGTTGTGGGCCTGTGGATGATGGATTTGCATGGATAAATTTGTTTTATTTTACAATCATACCTAGCAAGCATAAGCTTTATTTTACAGGCTTTAGGACAATAAAATTTCAGTATAGTATTCACTGAATAATTGTCTCTTTTTTACTCAAAGAATCTGGATGAATGCCCATCATCGCACAGAAAACAAAACACAGCTGTAATGAATAGAAATTGTATTTAGTTTTTCTTTGTTTTTGTTTTCTAAAGGAGTAGCAGGGGAGTAATAGAATACTTAAAACTACCCCAGATAGACCTAGAAAGAAATGAGCATGCAGACTGAAAAACTGCCTTCATTTTACAGTTTTATTTTGTCTCCTTAAAAAAAAATGGCCGCATGCTTAATCTTTATAATAACGTGATGTGCCCCAAGGTGAAACAGGAGATGCCATAAAGATTTTGCATACAAAAAGAAATCAGTTTGCTAGTGCTGAACTGAAGGTAGGAAGAAAAGCTTTACAGCCTTCCATTGCCTAAAGCCTTTTAATGTCAGCCGGAGTGAAACAATTGCTGCGAAGTGTAAGAAAAATATGTATTTTGAATTGAAATATATTGACAGTTTTGTAACAGTGCTACTGATAACACTGTTCAATATTCTCTTAAGATATTACAGTTGAAAATGAAGGGATGTTTTACTTGGCTTTACAAAATAAAATTAAATCCAACTCCAATCATTATAAAATTTACCTAATGGAAAACTGAAATAGTTACACTATAACTATTGCCTTATATTCTAATCATATTGTTCAGAATGGACCAAGAAACCAACCAAACAGTCAAGGCATACACACATGCCTTAACATTTATGCACAACATCTCTATAGCATTAATGCTCAAATATATGTTTGTACTTCACATTGCAAGGTATCTGAATACTTAAAGCATAGTTCAGCTTGGTCTATGAAGAAAATAGAAAATCACATTACTAAGCACCTGAATGAATGAAAATAATTATCTGAAGGCAATAACAGTATTTTAGTGAAGAAAATAATTAGATGATGGTGTTTACCTTCTATGGCTAAACAGACTGATTTTGGAAATACGTCACCAAGAAATAGAATAGAATAACAGAGTTGGAAGGGACCTTGGAGATCTTCTAGTCCAACCCCTTACTTAGGCAGGAAACCTTATACCACTTCAGACAAAGGGTTATCCAATCTCTTGTTAAAAAGCTCCAGTGTTGGAGTATTTACAACTTCTGGAGGCAAGTTGTTCCATTGATTAATTGTTCTAACTGTCAAGAAGTTTCTCCATAGTTCTAGGTTGCTTCTCTCCTTGATTGGTTTCCATCTATTGCTTCTTGCCTTGCCTTTAGGGGCTTTGGAGAATAGCTTGACTCCCTCTTCTTTGTGGCAGCCCCTGAGACATTGGAACACTGCTATCATATCACCCTGGTCCTTCTTTTCACCAAATCTATTGGACTTCTAGGACAGAAAGATATATAATGTTAAAAGTCATCTTGATTCCTAAATATGTTCTCATCTGGTATACTTTGTCTTTCGTTGTGTAGGTATGACCCCAAAACTGATACCTGGACAATGGTGGCTCCATTGAGCATGCCTCGGGATGCTGTTGGCGTTTGCGTCCTTGGCGATAAGTTATATGCAGTGGGTGGCTATGATGGCCAGACGTACCTAAATACGATGGAATCCTATGATCCACAGACCAACGAATGGACACAGGTATCCCTCATTGTGTGCTTTGCATGCCGTTGATAGCAAGCTTTGGAGGGATTGGTGGATAGCTGAGGCTTCATAGCACTGCAATTTTAGCAGTGGTGGGAATCAAACATTTTTACTACCAGTTCTTTGGGCGTGGCTTGGTGAGTGTGGCTTGGTAGGCATGGCAGGGAAAGGTTACTGCAAACTCTCCATTCCCACCCCACCCCACTAGCCTGCTTTCCAGCTCCGTTCTCCTGTGCAGGGCAACAAAGAAGACCCAGCCGATCTGCTGGGACTCGGGAGTCAGAGAATAGATGGGGCCAGTCAGAGGTGGTGTTTGCCAGTTCTCTGAACTACTCAAAATTTCTGCTACTGATTCTCTAGAACTGGTCAGAACCTGCTGAATACCACCTCTGAATTATAATAATGATTTACTCTACAATGTCTCAAGGTCTTATTAAAGAAAAGCCAATATTTTGTTCTTAGATGATTAAGATTAACATTTTATGCAATAACGGGTTAGTCATTGAACTTCCCAATCGTTGAACACTACTATTGTTATCAGGTCTTTTTCTGGAATACTTGTGTTGATCTTTTTAGTCTGAATTTAACTTGTCATGTACAATGGTGTCTTTCTTCCTCTCTCTTATTTAAAATTCCAGGTCCTGTCTAGTTTTATTGGGAAAAAAAACCCAGTTGATAAAGCTCTATTTTCCATTGTGTATTCTCTAGCTTGGTCCTAGACCAACATGATATATCAGAATTCCTTCTTATAGTTGTACGCCTCCTATGGCTCTCTTCAGATAAAATGCAAATTTCTTTATTATACTAGTAATTATCACATAGGATTGTACATAAACAGGTATGACTACATGATCTGAAATCAAATACTATCTATGTTCTTTTTTAAGAACATTCCTAAACAAGACTTTTGCTCTTTAGGTCTATATAATTAGAATAAAAATTAATTTGAATAAATACAGAGACATAATAGATTGCAAGCAGCACTCATTTTAAATGCTTTGTCACTATACTGAGGTTACATTATTTATGTTTGTATCTTAATTGTGAATATACAGTGGTGTTCTAGAACAATACTACTTTGTAGACATCAGAAAAGATGGCATTGAAATCAAAGTGGGAAGGAGGGGAGGAAAGGGAAAGGAAAGGAAAGGAGCTAGGGAGGGAGGGAGGGAGGGAGGAAGGAAGGAAGAAGTAAGTAAGTTTGGTTTAAATAGCTTGTCATGATTTAATATCTATTTGGAAATTCTGGATATCATGAATTTGACTACTGTTTATGGATTTTGCTAATATTTTATCGACTTTACCAAGTTCATGAATTATGAACTGTTAATTTAAACTTCTCAGAAGTACATACAGTACCACAAACTATTAGCATTTCATCTTCACTTTGGAACCTAAACTTAATATTTATTTCTTCTGTGCAGATGGCATCTCTAAATATTGGAAGAGCTGGAGCCTGTGTCGTAGTCATAAAGCAACCATGACACTATCTGTAATGGATTTTATTGACTTCTAAGCAGGATTTTTCTGCCAAACAAGAAAGAAAATTTTGTCAAGTAACAAGGTCAATAGATACCCTCAGCCTTCTGTTGATCACAACTCACCGACATTAAAACGAAGAGAACAAAATGAGGATTCAATGTCCTTTCCTATTAGTAGATACTGCTTTATGGTTTAACAAGGGGGAAAATCTGTTTTAGTAGCCAATCTGTCTATGTGAAAAGGAAGAAATTAAATTACTGATCTATTGGCTATTTAAAAGGAACCAAGCAAAAGACCAAATTTTCTTAAGAAATGGATGGTTTTCATAGCACTAGATATTTTAACTCCATCACAGCACACTGTCACTTTGTAAAACATAGTGTTTTCTTTAAAAGTTGTATTTTATTTATGTGCATTCTTTCTTCGCTTAAGGCCTTATCTTCAAACATTTTAGCACTTTGCTACTGACACAGACAATAATGAGACGGGACAACATTCTAGTTTTGTTTCCTCCTGTAATAAAGTACAAAGGCACAGTTCTTTTCCGTCATTGAAAAATGATTCAACATTAAACCATGATTGTTTTCCTAATCAATGACTGGTCCTTCCAACTAAGCGAACAGATGGCTTGGATGGAATTGTGTTTCTGTTGAGTGTTGCGGAGTAAACATGCTTCAGAGAGAAGAGTTGAACCTTCAGACAATTGGTGTTTGATGCCATAAAGGAGAGCCAAAGGAATACGACCTCAAATTTACCCTACTCAAGCATGTGAAGCCTTCTTTCTTTCAAAGCTTTTTAACTTCTCCTGCATGTGAGATTATGTAGAAGATGGAAAATGGCAGTTTTGTCCACCGTTGTATCCTCTAAGAGATATCATTGAGCAATCACAAGGGAGAGACTCATTGGGACCTCGGTGTGCAGTAAGAGAGATATGGGAGTTCTAATGCCTTTTGTGAAGCCATCTTTGCTGTGCTGTAATTCAATTTAACTTGAATTACTCTCCGATCACTGCTGCAGATGATTGAACCTAACTTAAGGGGCTAACCCAATTTTTGAATGGGAGAACCAGCCCTCTTGCTTTTTTTAAAAAAAACAACGAGTGTCACTCAGAGAAATTGGCTTGTTTATTTGGAAAAAGAACGTTTAGGCACATGGTTAAGATACTCACTTCCAAATGGCTTTCTCAATCAATGGCAAAATGTGGACAGATTGAAAGCAAGAAAGAGGCTCAAAGTGGCAAGAATTAGCACGTAAGAAAGGTTTTTAGAAGCCCATCTCTCTTCAGATTGAGTTGATAGCTTTTTATATCTGATCTTTAATTCAAACATTAAAAGAAACTTTGGGGAGTTATTGCATAAGGCTGTTGTATGATATCTGTTTTGACTGTAAGGAATGAAACATTCATATACAAGAGGAGGGAAGCCCAGACGTCTTGCCATAATGATGTGCCCTGCCAGCAGAGCATCTGCTTTGCATGTATGAAAAAAAAAATTTCAGTGAGTCATGTTGCCTTTGTAAAATTCTGCTTTGTATACGAATGAGAGGCAGAAATCATCTTTGTGGTCACTCAATGCCTGGGATCATAAATGGGTGTAACTCTTGGCTGTATTATATCCTAAGCATGCTTGAACTTTCTTATTAAGGTACCAAAATGATGTTGATTTCCACTGCTACTTGTGGGGGGAAGAATCTGATTTCAAGGGTATTTTCAACTGGATCAGGAATAAAACTTTGGCTAATGTGAAGTCCTTTTTTGGCTTGTCTTTCTCCATCCAGACTAATTTGCTAATTAAATAAAACATTGGTGTCCAAATGACTTGGATCTTTCAGCCTTTTCATTTTGTCCTCAGTTATAACTGGTAGCTTGATGTGAATTCTGTGATCTATCCATAATTTGAATGCCATAAATTAATAAGGAGCAAATGGGAAACAAATTCACATTTTAGGGCTCAGGGAAACAGGGTGTGGATTGGCCCTGGGTTTCAGGACAAAAAAAATTGCTTTAGTCATTGTAAGGAGAACATAAACTTGGATGATAAAACCATCAATCTGATTCTGCACAGATAAATCATTTGTGATAGTAGGGATATCTTTACTGCTTAGAAGTTTTTTTTTTTTTGTTTGAAAAAAAACACAAAACAAAAATAAATTAAGGAAACTAATGCAAAGAACTGACGTTAAAAACATAGAGCAACTCCACATGTATAGTCATCATTGCCGATTTAATTTAATATACTTTCAGTTCCCACTTGCAGGTAAGATGTCCTCATTTTGTATGTTTGCATGGAACAAACTTACCATTCCCACACCAGCCTTTAAGGGTTGTGTTAAAAACCAAGATTAGAAAAGGCCAAGCATTAAATTAGACTTTAAAAATATTTTAAAATGAAATGCATTATTTTCACGAAATGCATTAAAAGAAGTAAAATAATCCCACAGTATTTTCCCATGAGTCAATGGCATAATTCCAGGAGTGGGCTTCAAAAATTTTAGCAACAGGTTTTCTATTTTGGTGTGGTTGTCCATTTTTCTAATTGCTACCAAGCTCCCAGCAAAGGTTGAGCTTCAGGCAAGAGTCTCACCAGGATCTGCTCCTCACTATAGCTTGTGGTCTTGAATAAATGAAAGCCCTCTTACCTCCTTATAATAGCTACCGATCTCCTGATGCTACCTCCACTTGTTTATCTGTAGGCTTTTTGTCTTTCCTGCTACACACGTCCCTCCTCACTTTGTGTTAGCATTTGGTTTTGTAGACTAAAAGTCTGAATTGGGTGAGGCTGGCCCTGAACATTGGGGTAATGCCTATTCAGAAGATCACATTCAGTGGTATGATTCAACCAGTATAACAACTGGTTTGGTGAGTGCATGCTTTGCGTGCATGAACACACACCCAGCATTTAGAAAAGATCATTTTTAGTTATAATACTTACCTTCTGCTGCAGCTCCAGTGAGTAAAACAGCTGATGTGTGGCAAACTGCTCTGCCGTGCGAATCAAACCAAGGAAATAAAGCACAGGAAAAGGGCAGGGGCAGGTGGGCAGGGCCAAACGATCACCAGAACTATGGGTTCACCCGAACCAGTCCAAACCGGTAGAATCCCACCCCTGGTCACATTGCACCCAAAGTCAGAGCCACATTGCCTTAGACACATAGGGTTGGTTATCACATAGTATTCCACAGGCTTTGAACTTGTCCATGCTGGCTTTATTACTTTCACATACCTGGATTTGTTTCTTTGTACATTCATTTATTAATATAATTTAGGAGCAGCTTGATGGCCTAATGTTGAAGAGACTCGCCTCTCACATGGAAAATTGACATTTCAATACTAGATAGCTGTAGATATTTTCCACTCAGGAAAATATCTGCTGTGAACTCTGTGTAGGTGTCAGGAAGAGCATCCGGGCAGTAAATGCTCCATTCAGTTGCCCTGACTCTAGCCAAAATTAAGGGATTATAGGATCATAAAGAGGGAATTTTGGCTCTCACAAAAGGGGCTCTGAGTGGTTAGAAAAGGGCGGAAAAAAACCCAGATTTTTGACAAAAATATCCAAGATGTGAATCTGTTACATGTTTGCTTTCTACCTTCCACCCCACCATCCTAGGAACACACCACAAATCTTTTGGAAGCAGGCTGAGGGAGAGAAGAGTCATCAGATTAGAAGAGAAGAGAATGAAATCTGAGCATAGAATTCAGAAACAAAGGCTCTTTGTGGAATCCAAAATCCAGATGTTAGAATTATGCAGAGAAGGTGGTGAGGAAAACAGTTGTTTTTTTTCAAACCAAGAAGAAAAATATGATGGAAGGAAGCATGCTGCATAGAATTAGAATTAGAATTCTTTTTATTGGCCAAGTGTGATTGGACACACAAGGATTTTTCTTGATGCAAATGCTCTCAGTATACATAAAAGAAAAGATGCATTCGTCAATAATAGACAATAGTATATTTTGGGGTCAATGGTAAAGATTTTGCAAAAGGGCTACTGTGGAAACACAATAATATAAGCCAAAGAGCTGTTTCAGAGCTATTCAATGTTTACTGAAGCCCACAACAAAGAGACCAAATGGGAATGTCTTATTTTGTTTTTTGTTTTTTCGAGTAACATTAACGAAAGTGCATCTGAAAGTCAAACCCTCAGATTAAAATATTATCCAGCCTTGGAATTAATTTTAAGAATGTAAAGAGAACTCCCATGTATTCTACTGTGCATTAAAAAAAATATTTCGATTTCTTTTTACATGCATAGAAGAATAATTCTACTCCTGCTACTTATTATTATAATATATTTGCTTTATGCAAACAAGAGCAAATACAGAATCCAAGGTTATTTGTACGTGAATATGTGTGTGATATTAAAAAAGCGAACATTCATGTTTGCTATTTCTACCCATTTAAAAAAAAATTGTTTGAAGAAAGTCAAAGAAAAATTGCGTTCCTGGAATTAGAATCATTGTGAATGAGATGGGAGGCATCTAAATTTGATCAATAAAATAAAACAGAGACCAAATTTGAATGAAACTCTTTTTGCTGCCGGATTCTCTAAAGTTTTGTACTGTTATATTCATAGCCGTTAGGCTCTCCTGAGCCATTTACTGCTACAGTATATGACTCAAAGCAATTTCCCATAGTTTTGAACATCATTCATAACCGTTTTTTATTGTTTTTTGGGGGAAAGAGTCAGAAATCTTTGCCTATTAGTTGCAATTGATTCAGACATTTCTTTGTATTCTTTCAAAGTATCTTCTGTTCCCTCTACTTTGCTATCAGATGGATTTTATGCAAATACATCCCAACTATTCTTGCCCCCAGATGTTGAGTAATGCCTGGTCCTTAAGCATCATTTCTAACTCACGACAGCTGTAATGCTCAAACGATGCTGCAATTCAGAAGTGGTATTCAGCAGGTTCTCACCAGTTCTGGAGAACCAGTAGCGAAAATTTTGAGTAGTTCGGAGAACCGGCAAATCCCACCTCTGACTGGCCCCGCCCCCATCTATTCTC